TGCGGGGACTGCGCCTGGCCAACCCGTTCAGCCTGACTCCTTCCTCCACATCTCCGTTCCATCTGCTTGACTGGGGTTCTGGGCTGGCCCTCGGCCTTGGGGCTGATCACCCTAAGAAGTGGGGACACAGGAGTGGCCGTCCTCACAGCTATGTCACAAATGCTGTGGGCTCTGTCCCCTCCCTGCTGAGGTCCCAGCCCCCTCTGCCGCCTCCACATCTGCCTTACCTGTCCTCAAAGCCAGAGGCCAGGCCCCCACCTCTGTCCAGGTCCCCACGTCTAGCCCTGAGACACCACTCACTCCTGCCACCCTGTGCTGACTCCTGCCGGTGCAGCAATGACCCTAGCTACCCCTCGGGCTCCTCCCTCTTCTGGGGCCGGAGCTGGCTCTTACTACAATGTGCATGTGCCCCGCCTGCTGCTGAGCGCAGGTTGGCATCTGCTCCCAGCCTGTGAAATGCTCCAGCCCCTGTGAGGACAAGGACCCTGGCCCTTGGCTTCTTTGTGCCCACCGGCCACAGGCCAGACCTTGAAAAACTTGGGGTGGGGAGGAGAGAAGGACGGTGCAGTCGGCCCTCTGTGTCATACCTGTGGCTCTGCTCCTAAGCGCGGCCTCCTGGGGGGATCCAGGGGCTTTGCCCTGAATAGACCCCTGCAGTGCAGCGGAGCAACTATTTACCACAGCGGGGAGAGGAGTGCGCTGGAGAGGCCTGAAGACTGTGCATGTGCTGCCCACCTTGGGGAAGTCTGCGCGTATTCCGGGACCCATGGACCCCATGCCACAGCGGTGCAGCTTACCCTCCTCGGGTCCCCAAGCCTCAGCCAGGGACTGGGCCTCTGAACTTGGCCCTGTCTCGTCCTCGGCCTTTTGGGGTGTCCCACGGTGCTGTTTGAGAAGCCCCGCCTGCCCTGGGCACCCCCTTACTCCACCGCAGCTCCTCCCAGCCGGGGCCAAGTCCTCCAGTCCCCTCTCTGCCCAGAACCCCAAAGCGAGTTAGGATTCTGGACAACCTTTTCAGCAGCACGGACTCCGTTGGGGCTGGAGAACACGAGGGCTGTCTGCCGTTTTGGAACAGATGAAGAACAAAACAAGGAAAGAACAAAAACACAAATCAATATTTCAGTAAATTAGCCTGCCGCACAGTGAGATTGCTTTGGTGGCCAAGAGGGGCTGAGAGCCTGGACTGATCTGTGGACGCTGGGCTTCAGGAGGAAGAGGCGATCGACCAGCGCGCAAGACAGCTTCTCTGTGAAGTGCGTATCTTTGTAACATGTAGCTCAGTTAGTGGCTGAGACTTCCTGTCGCACCTGGGCCTCCGCTGTTGCAGGCTGCCTGCAGGCTGGCGCCCTGGTAGCACCTCCTCCAGCCACGTCTCGGCTGCTTGGTTGCCACGGTCTTCACCACTCTTACCCCACCCCACCCCACCCCCCACTTTCTTTATATCATCATCAGGAAGTAGCCCTCTATGCCCCTAAGCACTCTGAACTGGGAAGGGCACACAGACCTGTTTCTGATTCTTGCCGCCTGTCTTGCGTGTCCAGGACACTTGTGTGCAGCTCCCCTCCGGGCCCCGTGGAATGGAGGTTCTCTCTGCACAGCCCTGAACTGCTCGTTCTTACCGCTTCAGCCATAGCGCCCACCTACGGCCTTGTCGCTTGTGTGGCATCCTTGCTCCTCTCTGGCCCTGATACCGTGGTGGATCTCTCTGGCTAGACTCAGGTCCTCTTTAGAGCCTTGGCCAGAGCTGCTCTGCTCAAGCAGGACCAGCCACTTGGCCCTGGAGACTGGCCACTGTCCTTCACCTGCCAGCCAGTGCGCTGGGAGGGTCTTCATGCCCCTGCCTCAAGAAGATGTGCATTGCTGGGATTGACCTGGCTGAAGGCAGCAATGACACAACTCAGAACTAGCTTTCAGAGCTAGAAGGGCTTCCTGATGCATGAATGAGACATGTCTGTGGTGTCAGGCTCCAAGCCAGTCTCCAGCGACCCTGTGTGTTGGAATTCATGCCCTGGTGTGGTACCCACTGCTGACTGGCTTTGACTGGCTTTGTCTGGGATTGGGTTATAAAAAGACTGTGGCTTCTGTCTGAGGGATGCGCTGTGCCACCCTGGAAGAGCACAGTGAGTGAGCCGCAGCACAGTAGGGCCTCTGTGGCGTGGGAAGGAGCTCTCGGTGGAACAGTCAGTGAGGAACGGAGTTCTACACAGAACTAGTGAGCGAGCTTGGCAGCTGCTGCTCCCCCGTGGCCTTCAGACGGGGCAGTGCTGTGCTCGGGTCAGCTTTCGAGAGTCCTGGAGTGGAAGAATACAACCAAGTTGCTTTTGGAACCTTGAGCCACAGAAACCGTGCCGTACTAAATGCCTGTTTTTTAAGAACATTATATTTTGGGGCAGTTTCTTTGTAACATAAGGCAGTGCCCATGGTAGGCCAGCTTCGGGCGCAGGTGAAGCCAGCTGGTTGTTTGAGAAGGCCGGGAGTTATCCTCTCTCCCATAGGCCCTGTTCCGCTTTGGGCTGCCTGCCTCCTCGGGTGGTGTCTCTTCTGTGGTGACGGTCACCATCCTACTCTTCCCAGCTCATCTTAACTGAGTGTTCAGCCTGGAACCATCGCAGGGCAGGAGGGTGCAGTGCTAGGCTGACCGGGCCTGGGCCTTCCACACTGAAACCTGGACTCCTACAGGTTAAAGGAAGAGATGTCTCCCGGCGAGTGTGGGCCGTGGAGCCTTGGGGCAGCCCCGACTCCCGCTGCGTACCTCACTCCATAGAACTTTGCACTCCAGGAGCGGGCAAGTTCACCGCCTGCTGATGTTTGGACCTGGACTGGCAGTGTTGAGCCCAGGGCTGCACAACCAGCCACACACTACACAAGGCAGGACGCGCTCAGATTCAGCCTCAAGGGTCACTCAGGTGCACACAGGGTTCGGTGCCTGTGGACACCGAGGACAGGGACCCTTTACTTCCACTTCAGCCCTGTGACCACTCAAAGGTGCCTGGAGGCAGCCACAGCCGGCTCAGGGAATGCATTCTGAAGGTCCGCCTTGGATCTAACGTAAATATCTGCTCCTGTCTTCTGCTGCTCCTGGATCAGCCAGGGTGGCCAAGGTTAGGGTACAGAAACAAGCTCCATATCCCGGGGGCTTTAGACAACAAAGGTTTTTTTTCCTACTCATGCCCTATTTGTGTTGTTATCATAGGGTATAGATCACATTGTCACGTAAGGTCTGAGTGAAAGAGCAAGCCTCAGTGTTACTGGATCACGTGCTGAGAGAAGAGATCTGAGGGGTCCCTGTGGATAGTTCATGTCCTAGCCAAGTAGACTCACCAGAGCTGCTGATGCTCCTCCCAGTCGCTAGGGGGCAGGAGTACACCTCCCGACCTCCTCCAGCTTGCCCTGAGCTGTCCGTCTCTGTATAACAAGCTGTTAGAAGTCTGTCTGGCTTGTGACTTACTTCATTGGGAATTGTTGCCATCCTGTTATAATGGGCAGTGTCATTTCCCAGGAGCAGGAGACAGAGTCTTCACAGTCAGCTCTGTGCTCAGGACTTGGGAACTGGCCTGGAGTCGTGTGAGTCTTGGACGTGGATAACTCAGGGACCCTGGTAATGGCTTGTCTTCCTATGCCTTGATTAGCTTCATTGACTTCATTCTCTTTTTGGAAGTACCTGGTTCACTAGCAATACCCTACCTCTACCCTTTGCTACTTAAAATGCACAAAGAGAAATGCTTGGCTGTCCAGGCCTTTCTGTGTCCATGGGGGCTGCTATAGGACCCCTGGGAATGCCCAAGCCCGGGGAAATCCCTTATATAAAATATTGCAGAATTTACATGTAACCTGCTCATCACTGTGGTTTATATCGTGCCTAGATGACTTGTAGTAGCTGACACAACATAAATGCTATGCAAAAACTTCCTATCTTGTGTTATTTACAGAGCAAGAAGGGCAAGTCTACGTGTTCAGGACAGGTGCAATGTTTTTTCAGACATTTTCCGCTGGAGTTTGGTCTCCTCTGGCTGCGGAAGCCCTAGATTGGTGGGAGCCGGGCTCTCTGGATACATTGGACAAGGGAAGCAGCAGGCGCCTGCTGACATACACCCCAGAACCTACTGTATATACAGCTGTACCCCAAGGGATGTGGAGGGTCTCTCAGCTCTCTAATGGGAATTCCTTCGGTGGTGGGAGCATGTAGTAGGAGCAGAAACCAAACGCCTGTCTGAGGGTCCTGAGCGAGTCTGCCGTTCCCGAATCCTCACTGTGTTGAAGGACACATGCTTTGTTGGGGAGGCGGTTAGGGCGGTGGTGAATGCAGGTTTGGCTTTAGCTCTCCTGGCTTCATACCTGAGGTCTTCCACTTCCTGTTGCATAAGTCCGGGAAACTGCTTCTCTGCGCTTCAGTTTGCATCTTGCTGGGTGACCGGGGCTGCCGGCCACCACCAGCCTCGGCTACCAAGTGTGCATCAGGGTACGACATGGAACGCGGCTGCTCCCAGGGGCTTCTGGTCCGTGGGTCCTGTGTGATGCTGTTTTTGCTCCTATTCCTCACACAACTCCTTCGCTGTAGCATTGCATTTTCTTTTCCTCTGTGTTGTTTTGTTGGTAACTTCCTGCAGGAAAGTGTAAAGCTAGCTCCCCTTCCCCTGAGCATGCGCTCCCGACTGGGATTTCCACTGTTCACCTGCTGTCCGGAGCTTGCATGGGACAAGTCCCTAGTAGAATGTGGGGACCCCTGGAAATGGGGTGGGCAAGTGGATTGAATAGGGAGGCCTGAGATGATCCTGAGCTTTGCTTCCGTGTCCCGCCCACAAGCTGTGCGGTGACTGTGTGTGAGGTATCTCCAGGGAGCCCTTTCTTCCACTCAGAGGAACGGAGCTGAGTGAAAGGTGGGCCTTGAGAGGGACCGAGCAGGGGTTGGGTGTCCCCTGGACCCGATCCCCAGTGGCTGGAGCCACAGGTGGCGCAGAGTTGACACAGCGGAGCACCTCTCTCCCGTCTGCACCCTGCAGTCCACGAGCCTCATCGAGATCGGGAACCCCTCGCAAAGCCTGGAGAACGTTTGCCGCTGGGCCTACCTGCAGCAGAAGCCGGACACGGGCCACGAAGAGTACCACGACCATGCCATCTTCCTCACACGACAGGACTTCGGGCCCTCGGGCATGCAGGGTAAGCCCCACCCCTGAGGTGCAAGGCTACGAACAAGTGGGCCGAGTGGGGCCGTGTCAGGGAGGAGGGTCCAGGCCGTGGTCACTTAGCTGGGCAAGGGTTCTGGTCAGTGCTAATGATCTCCTGGCTCTGGGGAGCCACTGGGACATCAGCCTAAGAAACTTGCACCCCGGGGCCGAGGGGATCGGGAGGCAGCAGGCAGGGCCTGGAGCAGAAGCCCAGACCAGAGTGCGTCTGAGGGTGTGCTTCAGAGGCGTTTGCTTCCTCTGGTTCCTAGAAAACAAATCTGAATCAGGTGCCAGGCTTTAAAAGCTTAGGGAATTTTTATATAAAGATTAAAGCCACATAAATACATAAATGGAGAGAGAGAGAGAGGGAGAGAGAGAGAGAGAGAACAGACACTACACTAAACTAGTTGAGAATGTATACTCTTTATGATCCATGTGAAAATATACCAAAACAGACTACCGACCGTAAGGAAGTCCCACCAAAAGTCAAAGATAAAAGTCCTGGAGGATATTTTCCCTGACTACCCTGGGAAACACCCATAAGAAATCCTCAACATTTGGAAATCAGTAGCATATTTGTAAATAGCCCATGGGTATTTGTATTTGTAATTGAATGGTAATAGAATGTGACATAGCACAGCTCGCAGGTAAGCTAAGGTAGTGATTAGTTTGATACGGCTTTCAATGCATTCAGTAGGAAAAGTGGCTAAAAGTCAGTTGTATGCCTATCTCAAAAACTTAACTAAGAGCATCAAATCCCAACAGGAGTGGGAAGATACTAGAAATTTAGGAGCAGAATTATGGAAATAAAAAACAATTCTGGTAGAGGAAACCAGTAGAACTGCATTTTGATTCCTTGCAAACCAAACAAAAATCTTGAAAACTGACTCCAGAGAAAACAGAGCTAAGTTAGAGAATGGAAAAGAACATTTTATAAAGCAATATCCCCTGAAGGTTTGGGAAAATACATCCACAAACCCAGAATAGGTTGCTGTGAAGTACTGGAGAACAATGATATTTTTATGAAATTAAAGGCTGTGATAGGGAAAATTAAAAGTTTGAAAGCTGGAGATGAAATTAAAAAATAAATAAAGGCCTCTGTCAATTTGAAACAAAAGGACATGAAGATTAAAATCAGGAAAGTTAGGAGATGTGGAAGCTTAGTCCAAGAGGGGAAACACCTACCTAGTAAGATTTCCAGAAAGTGAGAATAACTCCAAAATGAAAAGTAAAATAAACACAGGGACTTTTTCAAATACTTTTTTTTAACAGCTAATAACTGCACCCATTTTAAAATCTTGAGGGCAGCTACAATACTAAGGATGGGTATGAAAGGCGTTCACACTCAGGACACATTTGAGGGACAGAGACCCTAAAGCCCTTCTCCAGCCACTGATTTGAGGACCTCCTGTTGATCCCAGGAGGAAGGGGCAGTGGTGGGACTGACACAACACAAGTCGAAGTGTAACAGGTCGTGGTGTCTGCTCTCCTCTCTGTGTTTTGCCCTTGATCGAACTGCCTGGGGGTCTTGCGGCCTAGGGCCCAGAGCTGGGGTCTCAGGGGGTTCAGGGGCAGGAGCCCCTCGAAACACTCTCTTGCCTTGTCCACGCTACGTCTCTCGCTGAGATGAGAACCGGAAAACCACAGGGGCTGGGAAGACGCCCCTCCCAGGGTAGGCGAGTGGGGGCCCAAGGTGGGGTGGCTCAGAGGGTGTGGGAACAGTGCCCTACTCTGGGGCAGAAAGTCTTTCCAAGGATCGGAGAGACCAGCAGGAAGGAAGCGTCAGGGGGCAGATGCATCCTGACAGGTAGACAGGACCAAGAAATGGGCCCCACGATGTGGACTTTGACGGGCAGGAGGGCTAGGGGGCGGTGGCCGGGGTGTCCATGCAGGGTGGGTGTCTTCCGAGCCCCACCAGCAGGGACGGCTCATTCGCTCTGGGCTGGGCCCTGCAGAAGAAGCAGTACCGGGCCGCTCTTCCTCACGCCTGCCCTGTTAGGGCTCTGCAGGGTCTGGGGCTACCTTTTGTCTCCACCCAGGCTATGCCCCTGTCACCGGGATGTGCCACCCTGTTCGCAGCTGCACCCTGAACCACGAAGATGGCTTCTCGTCGGCGTTTGTGGTGGCCCATGAGACCGGCCATGTGTAAGTGCCTGGCCGTGCTGTCTGTGGGGACAGTCGGGGCCAGAGAGGGTGTCCCTGGATCCTCTGCCCCGGCTGCACGCTGCCTGGCTGCCAGGGACAGCTGTGTGTGGAAGCCACTTGGACGCGATGGCCTGTTGCCCCGGCACTGCCCAGGGCGAGCTGCAGGTCACTTCCCACTGAAGGAGCTCATTGAGGGAGGAGGCACTGAGGGCTGAGGAGCTGCTGAGGTCCTGGAGCCACTGTGCTCCCCAAGTCAGGCAGCAGGGTTCCTCTGAGTCAGAAAGCTGCAGTCCCCCGCTGCCTGCCCCCCACATCCTCTGAGGCCCTGCGTCTGCAGCCAGGCAGTGTGCCCGGCTGGGCAGGGCTCTCCGCAGGCCAGGCATGGAGAATATGGGGCCAGGGCCGGCAGACGCCTCTGCCTCCAGGGTTCGCAGGGCGCAGGCCTGCCCCGGGGCGGGCTCCCCGGAAGCCTCTGGCCAGAAGAATTGAACAGGGAGGGCGGAGTTGGCGGCGCGGTCAGGGTCCCGCAGTGCTGCTTGCTCCCTCAGGCTGGGCATGGAGCACGACGGCCAGGGCAACCGCTGCGGCGATGAGGTGCGGCTGGGCAGCATCATGGCGCCGCTGGTGCAGGCTGCCTTCCACCGTTTCCAC